TCCCCAGAAGTCCAAAAGAACAACTGCATTTACCTTTGACATGTTATAACTTTGATTAAAGCTATCTGTTCTGGTGTTGGTTGTGTGATGAGAGAATGCAGAGGATTTAATTTATAGAGGAATGCTTTAATATATATCGAAGTGATATCTTCTAAAGGTTTACAATATAAAAGGTTCTTGGTTTAACCACCCATAAAATTGCAACATTCTCATTCTCGTGAGTGTTAATTTATTCTTTTTCCTGTTTAGATTTCCTGGCCTTGCTTTCACTAGAAATTGCCATCAAATGGAACGCCATGATCTTCACAACCGGCCAAGAAGCCATTTCAGGCCTTTCTTTTTTTTTTGGCCTAAAATTTCAAGCCTTTCTTGACGTGGATCAATTAAAGAATAGAAATATAAAATTTAGATCAAGTAAAAAATTTTAAATTTAAATTGTGTAAATGAAATCTAAACAAGTTATTGAGGTGAGGGAATCAAAAGTTTGTTTCTGCTTAACTTTAGTCGGTACGTTCGATAAAGTTCTCCATACAAACTATGTGCATATTTTCTTTGGTTTAATCAAAATAGTTGGCATCACACAAGGCATTACCAAGAATCACAGAGACAATCTCGAAGTACTGCTGTGAGGAGCTGAGCTCAAGAGAAATAGGGCTGGTTGATTGAAGTCAATAAAGAGGGGAAGTTAAAGTTTTAAGAAGTAAAGCTAACTTCTTATTTGATTCTTAACTTCCCAGGAAGTTAAGCCTCTTAGCTCCCTCATGAATAGAAAACAACTTACTGATATCCGGTTGAGACTTAGTTCCCTAACATTGTTATTACTTTTTCATGTATACCTTTATTAATTAATCAAATGTCATTGATACTAAACACATGGGTATGGTATTTTTTATGTTTTTATTAAAAATAATAGATTTATTTAAAAATAATAATTGTAACATTTTGAAATGTATACTCTTTAAGAGGTTAATTTCTTAGAAAGTAGAGTAATTGAAGGCCTTTCAATCATAGAGAATTTGCTATTTATGGTGGCATTTTTTCACAACAATTGAATAAAAGACATTTTGAAAAAGAAAATAGTTATTATTTTATGATTGTCATTAAGTTTTCAAGTATTCTAGAAGGCCTTCAACTTTATTAGAAAGAAAAATGCAATAAAGTTAATGTTCATAATAACTTCTTGAAGGCTCTCAATTTTATTTATAAGAAATCCCCCACCAACAACCCACTTGTGGGAATGGTTAGAGAAATTAAAAATTTATCATGCATGATTGAACTATTACTTTTGACTTCACCTTAAAAAGGGAATAAATATATTAATTGGCTACCTTGTCACATTCATTTTTAACACTACTTCTAAAATGTTTCCTACTTTTCACCTCCAGGATGTAAGGGTATCTTAATTAGTGATATTATTCTATTTGTATGGTTGTCTAGTTTAACATGGCCTTATGTTCCAAAAAATAATAATAAATTTTGGAAGGCAAGTTTCATTTTAGAAGAGTGAGATAATCTTGACCCTAAGAGGTCCTAAGGGACAAGGTCACCATGGCACCAGCATAGCAGCAATAGAGCCTCACTCCCCAGAAACCATATACGTAACCTGACTCTGTTACTACTAAACACAAGTAATCTACTCAGGCCTCCAACTGAGACAAAACTTATTTAGATTAAACTTCTAGCCTTGTTGTAAAGATCATTACTTTAAATTGTTTTTATAACATAGATTGGACAACCATCAAAACTTGATATTTTACTTAAACTTTAAGGTCCCCACTTATGATTATCTCTCAGCATAGCAAGTGCAAGGTAACATAGTAAGGAATGACTTGAAATACATGCACTTGCTTGTGAATTATTAATGTGTAAGTCTGATGTGAGGGCAGAAGCAGGATTGTGCTAGTTTAAGATAGAACCCGATACACAAATAAAAAAAGTGAAAATGAAACAAAGAAATGTAGAGATAAAGATATGATAAGAGATGAAGGTAACGATAAAGAAAAGCCAATAAAGATAACCATCAAGAAAAAGAAAAACTAAAACACCTGCTTCTGGCAACTTTTGCTTTTAAGATACCACAAGAGTTGATCAGACACTTGATCACGCCAATATTCACCTTAAGATTCCCAAAAACAAGCACAACTTGCACAAAATAATTTATCAAACTGAAGAGAAAATTCACATTCATCACTCAATTGGAAGAGTACTACATAAGGGGGCCTATTTATAGGCAAGATAGAAAACTCTAGAATTCCTAACTCTAGATGACTCCTTCCACAATGGCACCATCTCCTCAAAAAAGGATGATTTCTTATTTCTTGAAGATTCAACAGTAATGGCTAGATAAGAGAATTCAAAAACTTTCCTAATAACTAAAATCTTGCTCTCTAAGTCAAATCACCTAATAAAGCCATAATAATGAAAAGGAATTAGCATTAAAGCTGAAAATAAAAAAGGAAAACAATTAAGTCCTTTTTTTTAGCAAAGAAAACAATTAAGGCTTACGATTCAAACTTAAAATAAAAAAAGAAACAATTTAAATTTGCATTAAAGGTTTGAAGATGATGGAAATCATGCTTCTCTCTCCTTATTTATGGTCATAAACGACACATTCTCTTTCTTCAAATCTGATCATAAATGGCATCCCACTTGACCAAAATACCCTTCAGGCTTGGGTTTTCACCAATTGGGCTTGCATCTTCATGAACTTGGATCTTTAATGTTGTGAGCAAGTGTGGAATTCATTGGGCTTGTCGAACGTATGAAGCTCATTAAAGAACATGAGTTCAAGCTCTTGGACTTCTTCAATAAGACCAGTTGGGGCCTTCTTCATAGCTTTAGTCCGAACTTTAGTCATTGGACCTCTTATACTTTGCAATGGATCCTTAGGCATATTAGACTTAAATTCTTGGACTCCCTTTAGGCTTGGCACGCCTACCAACTCCTCTTGGGCCTTAAGCACGTCCTCTTTCTCCTCAAGTGAGCCATGCTTTCTCCCTTAAGCATGCCTACCGGCTAAATTGAATAGCCACACTTTGCCATAACTTTACCCTTGGGTATAAGAGAGTAGATAAATGGATCATTATTCATAATTCTTTCCCTTTGTTCCTGCCATGTGTAACTTGTTCTTGAGTTAACCCATGATCTTGGATAATTTGAAGACAAGCTGGTGAACTTTTTCTTGATCTAGAAACGCTTTTGCAACAGAGGGTCTTTGCAAGCACCTCTTAAACCAGGATGAAAATTTGGGACAATAGACTTCCAATTTGAATCCCCCAATCTTCTCGTAAGCATAAAACTATGAGGCTGGACCTAATGCTATGATGTCCACATAGCCAAATGCATCACCACCAAAGAAACTTTTGTCACCCAAACCTTCCTCCAGGTTCTTCACAACTTCAATCAAGTTCTTCTTGGCTTCTGCTCCCTTGCCTAACTAGATTCCCTTTCTAGTTTCAAATACCTATTAACAATACAAACGAAACCTTAAAAAATCAATGTTTTATTATCCATGCAGATAAACATAATTTAGCCTCTCTGTGTTACAATTTTACAAGTTCAATGCAGAAGATAGGAATAAGAACATTTATGTAGGTAAAACATATGAGAAACCTGCTTGTTTGTCAATATAATCAGCCCAAAAACGAGCTTGGGCACATTCATATGGGTTGGTTGGAAGAAGAGGGTTGGAAGGCCAAGCCTCATCGATGTATGCAACAACGTTTGCAGATTCTGCTACCGGCTGACCATTGTGCAGCAATACAAGGACTTTCTTGTGAATGGGATTAGATTTGAGTAGAAGCTCACTCTTTCCTCTGAGCAAATTCTCTTCCCTGCCCTTGAAGCCACACCTTTTTCTTCGAGAGCGATTCTTGCTCTGAGGCAGAACGAACTTCCTTAGAAGTCCAAAAGAACAACTGTACCTACCTTCGACATCTTAACTTTGATTTGATGTATCTGTTTCTCCTTGTTGGTTGTGCGATGAGAGAATGGGAGGGGTTTAATTTATAATAGAGGAATAGTTTAATATTAAAGTGATATCTTCAAAGCATGTAATATCAAAGTCGGAGATCCTTGGTTTTACCACGCATAAAGTCGAAACATTCTCGTGAGTGACGATTTATCTTTTTCCCCGTCTGTATTTCTTGGCCTCACTTGCTTTTACTATAATATGCCATCAAATTGAACACCATATTATTGGATTTGGATATGCCGTTTCATTTAATCAAATAACTAACTGTCATGTAATACTAAAAAAAAAAATTATCAAATCTCATATTTTTAAAAGAAACAATGTACATAAGGAATGTTCTGATTATAAAAATTGTTTAGAATCTATATATATAATAAAGTGCATCCTGGTACTATTCATTTATAGTCGAATGAGCAATGATGTTTTCTTTCTTTTTTTTTATTTAAACTTTGCATATTAATAACTCATGTGAGGCCCACAAAAAAAATTAAAAAAAAAATATGTACGAGACTCACAATAAAAATGCTTACAGTTATAAGACTCATAAAAAAATGTATGAGATCTAATTTTTTTAAAATGTAGGAAATTTATCATTTGTTTCTTGTATTTCGTACATATATATAAGGTAATTAATTCCATATGATATATAAATTTTAAATAATAAATAATAAATTATAAAATAAAATATTTTATTATTTAAATCAATCAACTTCTTCATGTTTGTTTTTATATATGAACAAATTTTAATCAATTTACACTACTTGAAAAAAATTAGTTAATCCTAATAATTATGCCTGAAATTGAAAAGTATGAATTAAGAAGTAATTGTGATTAAAATTTAATTAAAAATATAAATGAAAAATTTATAATAAAATTATAAATTTAATTTTCACAAATTATAAAAATTCAACTCTACAAATTCAAAATTTAAAATGAGTTACCCGGCAATTACTTTAAATAATAGATATTAAATCCCTATTTAAATAAAAAATATTTACACTATCAACAAAAACATTTGATGTGAGTTTTAAAAAATAAACATTGGTTCTATAGATTTAAAAAGAAAAAAAATAATAAAATAGTGCAAAGTAACTATAATACCATACAAGCTTTTATTCAAGGCCAATATTAAACTAAAATTAATTGGCACTGCATCAAGAGAAACATTTTTATTTCATGAAATTCGGAAGACGGTGAAACAAGGTTGATACCCGGCCCATGCTATTATTATTTGTTTGGAGAGAATTATAAACCAGATCCAAGCAGCAACTTCTCCACACAGAAAGACTGGCTAGATGTTCACGAGTTATACTACGTAATTCAACTCAGGTTGAAGTGAATAATCATACTCTGTCATCACTCGGTTCTAGGCTATAAGAAAGTTGATAATTGGATCTTCGTTCATAATTCTCTCTCTTTATTCTTGCCACGTGTAATTTTTTTTTTCCTTATGTTAACCCATGATCTCAGATAATTTGAGGACAAGCTGGTGAACTTTTTCTGGGTCTGGAAACGCTTTAGCAACCGAGGGTCTCTGCAGGCATCTCTTAAACCAGGATGAGAATTTCGGACAATAGGCTTCCAATTTGAATCCCCCAATCTTCTCATAAGCATAAAACCATGAGGCTGGACCCAGTGCTATAATATCCACATAGCCAAATGCATCACCACCAAAGAAACTTTTGTCACCCAGAGCTCCCTCCAGGTTCTTCACAACTTCAATCAAGTTCTTCTTCGCCACTTCTCGCCCTTCTTCTCCCTTGCTCAACCAAATTCCCTTGCCAGTTTCAAATACCTAATGAACAATACCAAAAAAAAAACTTCAAAAATTAGCGTCATTTTGTTTTTATGCATATAAACATAATTCGTGTAGGTAAAAGATGCAAAAACCTACCTCTTTGTCAATGTAGTCAGCCCAGAAACGGGCTTGGGCACGTTCATATGGGTTGGTTGGAAGCAGAGGGTTGGAAGGCCAAGCCTCATCAATGTATGCAACAATGTTTGCAGATTCTGCTACTGGTTGATCATTGTGCAGCAATACAGGGACTTTCTTGTGAATGGGGTTGGATTTGAGCAAAAGATCACTTTTTCCTCCAAGCAAGTTTTCTTCCCTGCCTTCGTAAGTCACACTCTTTTCTTCAAGAGCAATTCTTGCTCTCAAACAGAATGGACTTCCCCAGAAGTCCAAAAGAACAACTGAATTCCCCTTCGACATGTTAACTTTGATTTGATCTCTCTGATTCCTTGCTGTTTTGTTGGTTGTATGATAGATTGTGGGGTTTTAATTTATAGAGGAATACTTTAGTACTAAAGTGGTATCTTCAAGGTACATAGTGTCGAAGGTTCTTGGTTTCATCACCCATAAAGTTGCCACATTCTTGTGGGTGTCAAATTATTTGTTTTCTCGTTTGGATTATGCCTTACTTGCTTTCACCATAATCTAACATCATATGGAACGCCATATTCTTCACGACTAGCCAAGAAGATCTACCATAGTAAATATTCTTCACATGTAAATATGGTTCACTATTTTTTTTTTCTTTGTGCTGCTGAAAGAGAATTAGTTTTCTGGCCAACTCCAAAGCAAATTGACATCAGTACTTGTGGATGACAGTTTCGCTTCCTGGTAACCAAGCTGTTGCTAAACCAACAGAAAATTTTAATTAGCTGATATTACAAATACAGACACATCTATTCAGATCTTCTTATATATTTACCTTGAACTTGAAATGAAAACTAATTGATCCAGGATAAATAAAAATAAATTTAAAATTTACTAACTTTCCCGTTATAGTTTAATTACAAAGACTTCTACTTTGAAAATATTCTTATGCCTCCTAAAATTAAAAGTTATACTACATAGAGCTTCCATTTATGTTTAAGATTCCATTTTCAGAGATGAGAACAAGAAATTTGCGAGAGAGAAGAGAGAGAGGGGGAATTCTCACACACACACACATTATACATACATATACATGCACATATAGAGAGGGAGGGATGGGAGGGATTCTCTTCTCTGCGTTCAATGGCCCATGATTTGAGTCCAATCACTGATACCTCTGTCCTCATATAATACGTGGATCAGATGAAGAGCGCTGAATGGACGCTCTTCCGATCTTGGAGTATTACTTGTAGTTAATTAGTCATGACCCAAAATAATACTCCCTCAATCTCAAATTATAAAATATTTTTAAATAAAATATCACATATTAATAAATTTTATTAAATACACTTAACAATTTTATATTTCCAAAACAAAAACATAAACTTTCAAAAATAGCCATCGTTTAACATATTGAAAAGAGAAGAGAAATAAATTAATTATAGAGATAGAAAAGATAATATTATAATTGACGTATTTAATAAAATTTTAATTTATTTTAAATGTTTTAAATTTTGGAATGAAAAAACTCTTTTAAAAATATTTTATAATTTAAAATATAAGGAGTAATAATTTATGGGCTTTCGTTATCGTTCTTGTGATCTCAGAGATCAGAGTTTCAATCTTCAACTAACATAACCAATGATCTTGGGCTCGTGGCTGCTCCCTCGTATATAATGACCTATTGCCATTGAAAAAACTTGAATTGGCTTCATCAAGGAATGGGTTCATCAGACAAGGGAAACATGACTAGTCATAAGCATAATAGTAGCATCATTTTATTAACTTGAAATTAGCACGGGCAACTGGGGACAAAAATACTATATAATCTACATTCCACAGTAGGAAAAAGAATTCCAACAAATACAAAAGGATCTAAAGGATCTACATGTACTACCTTGTAACATTGGGGCCCAAAAAAAAAAAGTCCTTTGCGAAATTATTTATGTCAAAAGGCAGGTTTATGGACATGAACAGAAGGAAAATCAGCATCCGAAAAATGCATGACATGTCAAGACTTTCCTCCTCCTTTTCTTCAGATAGGAACTTGCTTCAGGAAAACCTATCATGGAAGAAAGAAACTATAATGAAAGGCGAATGCGTTGGCCATCCCTCTCCTCTGCTGTTACAGGCAAGGGCTGATTTTCTCTCTCTGCTATGAATATTTTATATGGCACAAACCCTTTAGGCCTCCCCCATGTTTCAGATACGTCTGACGTGTCTCTGGGTGTTGTCATGCGGCCAAAAAAGTCCAATTTTTCTCCCTTCCTGTGGCAATGCATGTGACTTCTGGCTTCAACGTCTGCGTTTTCATCATTGTCCCCATCATTTATTGAGTTAGTAATGTTTGAACCACACCAAGATGCTTCCTTTTCAACTTTATCATCTTCAACTTCCTTATTGTTAGATTGTAGATGATGATTCTTCCTCTTGAGGGAAACAGTCCTCCAAGGAGCAAAACCAGCAGGAGCTTCTGCTACATCCGAATTTTTCATTGTTGGACAACTATCTGTTACCAGAAGATTAGTCCCAAAAAGCTTAACGATCCGACCACAAGGTTCTTCCGTTGAGTCGTCTTTGGTAGACATACTTTCTTTGTGGAAAAGCTCAAATTTCTAAACAGAAAAAATACAGAGCGGAATTATATAAATCTTTTTTAGCTGCTATTTTAGAGATGATGATCAAACAAATTGGATCAGGGAATACCCCAAGAGTTTGCAGATCAAGCGATGAATCGGCATTTGGCGTGGAAGGATCTTCCTCGTACGAACTTCCATCTGGTTTATATGAATCAGAGTAACCCAGAGCGTCCAAACCAACCGTAGATAACACTGATTTTGGAGAGTGGTTTTCCTGATCAGATTCTGATGACTTGAGAGAATTAGACCTCATCATTGCTTGGCCTGTGTTGGAAACTGCTTTACCGGGGATCTCCGCCAGCTTACGAGGGTAAGGATGCGAAGGCTTTCGCTTTGGTCGTGGAGGTGGGATTTCAATGGACTCCACGGAGCTTATGCTGCTCCCAGTAGAGTCACGAAGAACCTGCTACAAGCAAAACAGTCAGACTTTATTTCAAGCAGAGATCGACGAAAGTTCTTCATTTTCCACATCTAGGTGGCCTTCAAAATTCGAACTGGCTTTTATACGTGACTTTTCGCTTATTATATAATAAGGTTTAAAAAAAAAAAAGGGCTGTGGAATAGAGAAAGCAATAAACCTTTGTGAAATACTTCTGAGCATGGCTGCGAATCTGAACTGCGGTCTTTGTGCCAATATGTTCTGTTGCGAAAAATAAAGGATCCCAAGACTTAGACCAAGAACACCTATAATCCTTCCTTTTATTTATAGTTATATCTTCAAAAGATACACTATTTTGTCATGATTTGAGAGGATAAATTATGATCCAAATTTTTTGTGACAACTAACTACTTCACAATCACGTCTGTTTCGTATTTTCTGGAAATAATCAGATCGCGTTATTCTTGCGTGAGACACAGAAGGTTGAAATTAAAAAGTACCTTCAATCTTTCGCCATGCCCTGCCATACAGTTTCAGGGCTTCAAGAAATTTCTTATGCTCTTCATCTGTCCATCGCTCCCTCTGTTTCGTGATAGTGTATGGTTTCCTTACCTGTTGAAGAGAATACAAAAAGGATTAGTTATATATCAGAAGACCAGTAATCAATCAAATATCTGTAGAAATAGAGGATTCCAGATTGAACCTTTGGAGCATGGTCATTCCCACAAGAAAACTGATCATTTAGATGAACCTGTGAAGCAGAACGTAGTCCATAACTCAGAGATACTCCATTTTCTAGTGGAAGACCATTGTATTTAGAAACTTCATTATGATCCTGAATTCAAATCCAAAGGGAACATGGTTACAATCAAATCACCAATAAAACCCAAGAAATTTTTTTAACGTCGTAGGAATTATAGATTTAATTATAACCAAAAATCATCTGTCCACAACCCATGGGAAACATTCAAAATCAACAATTGTGATCGAGTTATGGAATATATGCACTTTTGGCATTCAAAAGAGGAGATCTTATCGTTAAAAATAGATTCCTCGTTCTTTTGCTTTTCAAAGGTAGTTACCAAAAACATACGAACAAACAGATTGAAATCATAGCATATCCAACAAACATGTATGAGAACGATAATTTTAGTGGAAAATTGAGACTATAGAATCAATCAAGAGATAATTAATGAAAATAATTGGAGAACAGAAACTTCTATAATACATACTCGAATAGCCATAGCTGCAGATTTCACCAATCAAGATCTTCTCAACTTGGCCAGCGGATACAGAACCAGAACAAAACTCAGTGTCTTTCTACCCCCAGAATCAATAATTTCTGTCAAACACTAATATACCCTCGAATTGTTAGATCTGGTGATCAATCACGAATCGAAGGAATCAAAGCTTGATTACGGAAGCCTATACCCAGAACATTACATAAACTTTTCCACCCACACAAAAATCTTTTGTTAACCAAAATCCATTCAGAACCCTTCACTCCTACCCAACAGAGTCTGCGAAACCACACCGAAGAAGAAGCCGGAATAGTTTTTCCGGGAAAATAATTGGAATCCGCAGAGAAAGCAACAAGAGGGCTGAAATCACGAGAGAACTGTGGAATGGAAAAGAGTGACAGAGTTATGAAGACGATGAGAAACAGAAGAAGATGAGGAAGCTTGGGGGTGCAGAAGAGAGCGACGAAAAGGTGAAGAACAAAGAAAAAGCAGACGGATAGAACGCAGAGGAAGGGGAGGGGCGAGAACTATGAGGGGTGTGAAAAAGGGACTTTGTAATGAAGAAAAAGTGCAAAAGCGAACCAGGAGGGTGTGCCACGTCAGATGTTGAATTTCCGTTTCGTCGTTGTTGAATAAAAAAATATTAAGAAAATACCATGTTTGCCTTCCTCCCATTGAAATCCAGACAGCTCGTTAAAATCTTGTGGCTGTCGTTGAAAGACAGCCTCAACACGTGGCGAGCTAAAGTGTGTCCCTTTTTACGCTTTTTTGAAATTTGCTGCTCTTTTTAGTTTTTGTCTTAATTATTCGTTCGTCATGGACCATGCTCGTGCCACGGTGCCAGCGTTCCATTACTCGCAGGCGGTACCGCGTGTGAGTCATACTCGCGACACTAGAGTGACACGTGTACCACTAATCAGTGCGCAATACAATCCTGGCCAATATCTTCCCGATTTCTAAACAGATAAGTGGGATGGCCCATGTTTTATACATGGAATTATCGTTACAGCTAAGATGCTAGTAATAATAAATGGTGCAGAAATTAATCGACTCTTGAATCTTCCATTCATAATTTCAGGAAATTTTTTTGGGGGGGGGGGGGGGTTGATCTTTTGACTGTTGAAGAGCTGGCCTACGGTCCCTGGGGGACGCTAAGATTTCATAATTCACATGGGGTATTTTATTTTTTGATAAAGCATGCTCCATCCGTTTTAAAATGAAAGAAACATCTCTTTATTTTTATTTATAAAAAAATTATAAATTCCAAAAATATTTGTTATAACTTTTCAAATTATCTTTCGTGAGTTAATATTTATTTTTACGAGATAAATTAGTTTCATTATTACAAAAAATAACTTAATTCACATTCTTAATTTTATATGTAATTATTAGTATCATTATTCTTATTATTATTATTATTTGTTCTTAACTAACTTTGGCTTTTTTATATTTAAAAACGTGAGAGTATCAGAGTATTTTGAGAGACTACATCTATCACTAAAATATGTTTAGTTAAGATATAATCAATATATAAAACTGGCACATAATTTGAATGAAAGTTTCGTGTCATTATTTATGCAAGCTAAGAGAAATATTGACAAAATTTTATGGATGATTTTTAACTGATTCAGATTTTGAAATAAAAGTGAAAAATTAAATGAAAGATGACAGTATCATATAAAAATTAGCATGCATGTAACTCGAAAACTAAATAAAAAATTCTTAAATTGACCCAATACGTTATGTTATTCATGGCCTACCAAATAAAACTGTATAAATTCAATCATATGATTATATAATATTATGTTTGATGGATTTATTTTTATAATGCAATGTCTATTTAATTTTTTTTTACATTCTCTCTCAGTTATTATTGATATTAAAATTAATTTATATTTATGTTATTTAAATATGATATTTTCATTTGATGGATATGGGTGATGCAATGCATCACATTGATTATACTGAAGTGACAAAAACTTATAATAATTTATAAAAAAAGCCACATATATATATTTAACAACCAAAAACTCGAATAACCATGAGTTATAATTTACTATATTATATTGATTATCATATGTTATGCTGTTATTAGTTACTCTCTCCATACTATAATATAAGTCATGTTTTAAAAGTTTTGGTTGTCTATAATATAGAATATTAGATAGACGTTAAATTTTTTTTTTTTCAATTATACCTTTACTCTATTAAATAATTAATGAGAGTGTTTTCAATAAATCAAATGTGGTATTTACTATACTCAAAGGCACAGTTGGAAAAATGTAGAAAATTAAGATCTTGACCATTTAAAAAAAATATAAATTGATTAACAATGACTTATATTATAGTTGAGAAGAAATATAATTTATTATAGAATTTGAGTTCAATATAGTACTCCCTTTTTATATAAGATAATGTTGGAAGAAATTTTTATCCCGAAATTTAAAATAATTTAAAAAATTAATGTTTTATTAATAATATCATTTCAATATTATCTTTTAAATGAGGAGAGAATTGAAGTAATATTATAATACAATGATTAAGTGTATATGAGCATTTTTGAAAGTCTGTATTTTTTTTAAGAATAAAATGTAATTATAGTATTTTATTGGCATACACAGTTTTGTATTAAATTGTCTTATAATTTAAGATGGATGAAATATGTTTGTAATTATGATAGTATATACTTTCTCTGTTAAAAAATGTAAATTTTTTTATCAAATTTTACATTTCAATAAAATAGTTATCTATTTTTAAACTAAACTCATATTTTCATATTTTTTATATTAAATATCCTATAATAAATATAAATTCATTCATTAATACGGGTATTTTTAAAAAAAGACACTCATTATATATAAAAATATTAAAAATATTTTATATATTTAAATATTCAACTTCTCAAAAAATATTTTATATTTTTTAACAGATATATATATATATATATTTATTGTACATGGTTTTTCTGTAATTCAACATGATAGTTTTTATCAAACTTTTATAAATTTATTTTAAAATTAATCTCATTCAATTTACAAGCAGATTAATTCTGAATGTCGCTGTTTCACCTTTCCCTGCACAGTAAAAAAAAAAATCAATTCCGCCTATCAAAAAAAAAAAAAAAACAAGAATTCCATGTCTGGCAGCAACTGAAAAACGTTAACGCGTGAAAATCAAATGCGCAGTGACTTCCTGCTTACGTTTGGAGCCCCACCTTTGAATGATGTTTCAGGATATACATTAAAGATATGCTTACCTGGGCGTGCGGTCGCAAGTGTGATAGTACATATATTATTTTATTCATAAAATATTTCAACTATTATTATATTTTTTCATCACTTTATCCTTATGAAATATCGAGAGGCTTATTGAATATTAAAAAATACATATTTGATAAAGATAAAATTAAAAAATTATTGAATTTTTAAACAAAATTAATAAAATTTAATATTTTCTTGATTTTGATAAAATATTAAAAGTAACTCATAAATAAAATTAAAAGAATATTATTTAGAAAACATTTAGGTAAAATATTTTATCAATTCTTCTTTTTAAAAAAAGGAGGAAGGAGAAGAAGAAGCAGATAGCTAGGGAGAAGGTGTGGTGGGAGGGCGACAAATTATTGTTTCAATATCCCATAATAATCAAAAGTGGTATTTGTTAGTTTTAAAAATTTACATAAGAGGATATTTGTGAAAATGCAAAGGCTGAAATATCTTGAAAAGGCGAGGGAGAGAAAAAGAGAGAGTGAGGAGGGGCCAGCAGTTACGGATAGACGAGAGAGGAATGGAGAGGCAGTGGCAGAAGGGGACAGCTTTCTGGTGTGCACTATAATACGCCTACGTCATCACCACTTGCCGCCTCACTTGTAGCAACCCGCCACGTGTGCAGACACCAAGTGGATAGTCATCCTTCCTCACCACTCGTTTTTCCTCATTTCAAATTTAATTCCAAATTCCCCCGAAATTTTCCTATCCACATCCTTTACCTTTTTTTTCTTTTTTCTCTTTTTCTTAAGAAGTGCCAGGTGTCAATTGACATTGTGGAAGGTGGCGTTCAAGAATGAAAAATGTGCGGCTGAAGAAGTAGAGCTGAACGTTTTCATTCAATTTCCAGCACTACCCCAACGTTCCATCACATTATGGGTGGGAGGACATTTCACATATTCTCCCACTTCATATCAGGCCTACTTTTTAATCTTTTTAACTGCACGGGACAGATAAATATACGCACTATCCCTTTCATTTTTTTTTTAATTTAATATTCACTTCCATTTCAATACTTTCTTTTTTAACCAAATGCAAACAAAAATAGAAAAGTTGAGTCGACGTTAATGATATGAAGCGTTTAAAATTAATCTAGATAATCCGCGTTAATGATAGTATAAGTTTTACATGCCTCCACTTTTTTTCACATTAACTAGTTGAGCAATGTCAAGTATGTCTTTTAGAGTATTTTCATTTCATTTGTTCGCTTCCTCTCAGTGTCGACATGTCACCTCGCATCTCACACATCATAAATTGGGTTTGTGATATTTCTGGTTGATTGCGCCCCTCCTCTTTCCTCGTGATATGCTCATAGGATAAAGACCAAACTAGAGGAGACCGAAACCGAACCTTGGCATTCCACTCTTTTCGCCTCTCGGTGGATTCCACTTAACATGGATATTGATAAGCTGTGGAATGTGAATAATAAAATTAGCTTTCAACTTCATACTAAATGTATTAAAAAATCAGTATGTCTCCTATGAATTGAAAATAATTCAAAGAATAAATCCTACCATTTATTACTTATAATAGTCTGGTCTATTAATTTTTTTATTAGATTAAATATAAAAATAATGAAATTAACCATCAGAACGGAAATCAATGAAGTTAAATAATAATAATAAAGGTATTAATACCTTTAATATTTTTGTCATCAAAATTCTTTATACCTGGTAATATGAGTGAAGATTGAAAAAACTAAATCATAAATGATGCATAACATGTAACTAGATTGTGGGCTATGTGATCATCAAAAAGTTTAAAGTGTCCTCAATTTTTTTTTTCCATGTTATTTTGACGACCACTAATAGTTGTGATTGCAAAGGTTGTGGCATTATTATAAAACATCAGCACCTAATCTCTTCCACTATATTATTTAATTTTACATGGTCCAAGTTAAATTATTTTTTTACAGATTTAATATTTTAATGATTTTTTTACAATATATGTTAAATTTGAACACAAAACAATTGGCAAGACATCAATTAAAGTTGGCAGAGCTTTTGTCACATGAACAATTGATTGGAGGGTCAAACTCCAATTTTTATGTACATAGTAATCTAATTGTAAGAGGTTTGCTCATTACCTTCAGTGACTCAATAAAAATATATTTCCCTGATTTAAAAAAAAAAACAATCAGAGAGTCGGACTGAGAAAAAATTGATGGAAGGCGAAGGAAGAGAAAACAAAAGGGGAAAGGTAAAAGGAGATGATGCGAATCTAATAAAGCATGTGATATGATACTTAAGAATGAAGTGAAAGGAATAGGGCAACAAT